ATGCTTTATGATAGCGAGCAACCAACATTCATGTTAAAAAAAAGTATACTACACATGCTCTTCACTTGCTCCAATCAAAGTTTTCGAAAAAATAGTCCTGCAAGAGACATAATTTATCAATGAAAATCCTAATGGAGCATGTTTGCTTCAATAGTTTAGAAACCAAAATTAAAGCGCAGTTGGTTCTATGAACAAATAAAACAGCAATGAGCAAATAAGCAGAGCTCAACAAGAGAGACACACACTTGATAGCTCAAGAAGGTTGACCATCAGTTGTAAGTAGTGATGGAATAATATCAATAAAATCCATCAAAATAGAGATATCACCCGTCATGTGATGAGAAACTCTTGTATCTAAATCAACATCAGTTAAATGAGTTTGATCCTACAACTTTTTGGAAGACGTGTTGAGATTTGAGGAGATTGATGAGATTTGTTATTTGATTGTTGCCACTGATGAAAGGAGACACAGCACGAGCATTGTTAGCTCGACCACATCCACGACCGCCACGTTGAACATGACGATTAGAATTATCCATGTTATTTGATTGATATCTACATATTTGCTTGTAGTACCATACAAGATATACATGTATAAGAAAACACTATGTGGTTTTGTGTCCTTGACAACGATCATGAAGCCTCCTACCTGACACAACATAAACTTGAGAAGGATGTGGCATTTATACACATTGAGTTTCTATATGAGATAATTTTGTATCTAACTAACTCTAGGAAAATAAAAGATTGGCATATATCCTAGTCATAATAAAAGCCTTATATGCATGCACCATCATGTATCTTCAAACCAAAGTGTTACACATCTAAGATTGCCAAAATTAATTATTTAAAACCTCTATGCATGCACCATCATGTATCTTTAAAGCAAAGTGTTACACATCCAAGATTGCCAAAAATGAGAGCTAATCTCACAAAGAGAGAGGCCCATGCATACCTAAGTGAATACTCGAAGCCACAAATAAGATTGAAATACGAATCACCGCAAAGGATAAAACAAAAATAGGAACTGTCAGGCTTAAACCTCTCGAGCAAAACAAGCCGAAGCCCTTATGTCGCATATACCTGTAACTTGAGACACATGGCACAACATAAATTTTTATGCGAACACCTGAACACACGATGATGGGGCTAAAGGAAGATGTAGGAAGATAAAATAAATACAAAAAGCCGAAAATAAATGAGGAAAATATGTTTCCACGCGCAAGGGTTCAACGTCTTCTCTAAGTTCAACATCTTCTCTTTTTTATACATTTTGAAGAAACACTCGTGTTATTGTTGAATATGGTCCTTGTCCAACATGCCAATTCGGCCCAAATAGTATAGAGAACCCCTCAGAAGCACCATGTTGTCAATAGGTAGCCCGTTAATTCCTACTAGGCTTCCAACTCGGCCCATCAGTCTTGGGGTTCACTTATTAAGATTCATGGGCCAACCTTGGAGGGAAAAATCAAGGCTTCAATAGAGTGACAAAAGGAACATCAGGTTTTTGAGTCAAGCCTATAAATAACAAGAGACACTGTTGGGAACAGGACCCAGACTTTAAGTCTTTAACTTGAGAGCAATAGCATTGTTTACATTTATTATCTTTTAATTTCTTGTAACGCCCCGACCACCATCACTCCAATGGAACCAATGTTCACCACCAGCCCATGGGCCAATCTCTCTTAATGGACCTCACGTCCACTCACTAGGCCCATGAGCCCATTAATATCCTACGGTCGTTTTGCTACTTCCGGGAGGCTTAAATACTTGTTTACCAACCCTAGAAATCACCACATGATCTTTCCTTGTGTTTTGGCCTCACTCACACAATTCCGACAACCACTTTTTGGAAAGTCACCCATCTTTTGACTACTCCAGCATAAGCACGCTTAACTCTAGAGTTCTCTCATGACCTTTGACCGAAAAGATAAGTACACTTTGGTGACATAGGTGGCCAAATCAATTTATTTAAACCTCTCCGCAAACTGGGGTCTCACATTTCTCTCATGTTTACATTTCAGATCTATACGATCAGTTGTTTGTCGATAACCATCGACCTTAAACTTTAACCTTTATAAACCTCTTCTTTCAATATAGGTTAATAACAGGATTTGCTCCAATTTCACCCCAAAATCTTTATTTTATAATTGTTGAAACCTTAGTACAACTAATAAACGCCCACCGTGGGGCAGTTTAGAGCATTATTTTTGTTGACGAACATAACAAAAAGTCATGTTGTTTCTGGAAAATCTAGATAACGTGAAATATTAAGTCTTTAAGCGACCAAGAAACCAACACCTCCGTCTGACCATCGCCTGGTTTACTCATTCTGCCTTCGGAGCGACAACTAAAGGTATTGTACCAGAAAATGTTAATTCTGCAGCTGAGGAGCTGATAAGGAGCGTACCGACTTGCAACATGCCAACCTAGGGCGTGCTAACTCGGAGAACGACGTGCCCTTTACACTGGAGCAGCTAACCACGACACTCACCACGACGGCCTAATACACACGATTCTCGATCCCCTTGACGACCAAGACGTATGGAAAATGGAGAGGATAAATGTGCTCGGTGTAGCTCACATAACTACCAGAAGTAGCTTATAAGGTGAAGGCGTAGCACGAAAAAAAACTAGAAGAGGCCGACCAGCGTACATAATTGTTGGATATACTGACGAACACCAGCGTGAAAGCCTGCCGAACAGCCGGCACCTGTTGAGCTGACCTAGCAGCAAAGAAAATCAAGCCCGCGATCTAGAGCTCGCTCGTTTGCATGTACGATTTAGAGCACCACTCCAAATTTAGAAAAGTTTATAGAGGAAACGTAGTGTTCCCCATTCACAGCTAAGATCATAGACGTACATGTTTACCACATAACTAAGATAAAGATAGTCCCTTACCATGGTTTTACCGACCTAAGGATAAAACCATGGTATTATACCGTGAAGGAAATTGACAGTTGAAGCTATTAGGTATTTGTCGAGCATCTCACCGGAGAAGCGTTGAATTGGTTCTCTCTCATCAAAAGCAACTCAATTGATAGCTATCATGATATCAAGTGCGTATTCCTCCAATGTCACATGGTTTTCATGAAAGAGGGCGCGACGAATGCCGATCTTTGGACTATGTAACAAAATGAAAACGAGCCCCTCCGAGAATTCATGGAAATTATTTTAAAAAAATTATGCACTATTGCCACAACCGACAATATCTCCTTTTCCCGTGTAAGATTCAAAGAATATCTCATCATCGCACAGCCCGCCATCATAGATGATGCGATACGCAAAGTAAATTAGTACATCAAAATAGTATAATAAAAGGTAGCAAAACCAAACTGCCACAAGTCAAAGTACTGAAAAGGTATATCGAGCCGCGTCGGCACTAAGATCGATAGTCCGCAAAAAACAATAAACCAAAGAAAGCGCAAACTTTTACCTTCAATTTCCAGGAGCAAAGGTCGAATAGCAATACGCCGTGCAATAATTGTAACCATCAAAACGCAGATATTGTGTCTTTCACAAATTCACTGAGCATACCACCGTAAAATATCGAGAGCTCTATGTAGTACTCCTCTCAAAGTTTAAAAAGTAGTATTTTGACATCGAAATGTTAGAGCGGCGCTAAAAGTTAACACATAAGGATAATTCCTACGTAGGTGAGGGCGCGCATCAACACTAATGCGACCAGATCCTTCGCTAATATTAAATGGGCTACAAGCAAAAAAAAATATTGGGTCTATATGGGTTCGAACTTAGCATCTATAACATTTTAAGGGAAGGAATAAACAACTCAGCTACTGAAACTTCAGAAAAGTATCGGCCAAAATCTTATTTATTTATTAAAGGCCACAAGCATGGGCTTGTGCTGCTTGTAGTCATCGACGGCTCTGAATGCGACTATAAGGAACCTATAGAGGAAACTCGCGCACCTCTAGCAATAGCCTGGCTGCCATGATAAAGGTGGTCTAACAACGTGCAACTATTCTATTTGCTCAATGCGACCATACAGCCACCAGAGAGAAAACAGACGTAGTTGTCATTCAAAAAAGTATCCCTGATTCCAAATATATCGACCCTATCATGTTTAATGAAGCTAGTGACTTATAAACTGGTCCAAAAAACGTCCCATTAGATGTTGAGATGGCCATCGAAGAAAGCATAGTCACAAAGATTCTAATAAACATTGGCAGCTCAGTCAACGTAATTATCAAGGAAGTATTGATCCACATGGAGGTCGACCTGCACCTTGACGATCATCTCACACAGACGCTAACAGGATTTGACGGGGATTCGGTGATGACAGTCGACACTAAAATGTTGCCACTATTCATCGGGGTACGATGTAATATTTCCACTTCGCCATCGTCGACAAACCAATAGTGTACAACATTAGCCTAGGTACGCCATGGCTACACATGATGATAGTCGTCGACATCGTTACAAAACTGATAACTCTATATTTTCACATTATTAAGCATACATTTTGTGCATAGTTGCATAGTTTTAGTCATGTTTCTTAGGAATTTTAGTCTCTTTTTCTTCATATTGCACTTTTAGGAGATTTACCATAGGCATTTGCATATTTGTGCATTTTTGGAGTCAAAACAGGAACATTTGGGACATTTCTATGCATTCAAGGAGTCTAACCCGATCGAGTGTACCGGACCTGACCAAGGAGGACACGACCGATTGATATGATGGGATAAGAGAAGCAGACTCATAGCTAAGGCATTGGACTCGACCGAGCATTGGATGGACCCGAATGAGCCCAGCGTGCACCCGATCGAGCTCATCTAAGACCGACTTGATATTTTGTGATTTTGTGTTTTAGGGTTTTGAGAACCCATATATATAAGGACCATTGGCCATTAACAACAAGAATCAACTTTTCATTAGGATTTTTCTTTGTAGCCACCAAACTTTCCAGAAAGTTGTAATCTTATTATCTCTTGATCTATTGAGTTTTTGCTGTTGCTTCTTTGTATTATCTTTCTACTTAGGTCATTATCTCTCTAATTATGCAAGATTAAGAGATTTATGGGTTTATGCTTTTTACTATGATTTGCAGATCTTAGTAGTGTTCTTAGCTTTTAGGGATGAGGTAGATCTGTGTTCAATCCTAGTTTCTAGGGGTTGTTTATGGTTAGAATCTTGTAGATCTCTTCTGGATTAGTGGTCTTAATTCTGATTTATTTCTGATCAACTGGAATTAGATCTCATGCATTTCCTGCCTCAAAGGTGTTTGATGAAATGCCTGAGCAACTAATGCCAGAGATTCATTGTCTTAGCCTTAGGGATAATTTTTCTAGGAGATGTTTTGACATGATTAAGCTGGTTCTTACTGCTTATCCATTGCATGTTTCATCAGAGGGATCTGAGATTAGGAAGTGTAATGAGTTTGATAATCTTCACCAAGGGATTGGGCTAGTTAGGTTTAGAAGCTTAATGTTGAGGGATTAGCACTGCTTGTGTGTTGATTGAGTACCCCATAGAGATTAGGAGGATTCACAAATTGATTACCTTATTCCCTAAAAGGTATTTATCTTTGATAGATTTCCATCTCATATTTGTTTCAATTCTGCTCCACTTAGTTCCTGCATCTTAGTTTATCGTTCTGTAGTTTGTTCATTATAGTTTGCTTTCCTACATCTTAAGATTCATTTCTGTATTAGGATTGCTGAATTCAATCTATTATATATCTGGCTTGACTTGTTTATCTTTGGTCATATCCTAGTTGCTTGCTAGACCACTCATTTGGTTCGATAATTCAAGTACTACAATTGCTGAGGAAATTGACCTGACTTGTCACGAGAGTGACACTATAAAAACCTGTTTCAAAAACCTATCTTATAAAACCTATAATTACGGTATGCATAACAAAAGCACATAGAGAAAAATACTGCTAAACAACTGAAAAGCAAACAAAGGCTTAAATCAATTTTCAAGACTTACCTCCAAGTCATAAAAAAAAATCATCATTCATGGAGATTAGCATTAAAAAATTATCAAAAACAGAAGCAATAATACAAACACCTACAAGGACCGATAACATCCACTACAAAACAAGATGATAGATTGAAAAAAATAAAGCATAAGTCTATAAAGAAAAGTAAAATCACTCTTCGGTAGAAGCGTAAATACCTGCCTGGGTATGCTCCCCTTCGTCGAACACTTCAGGAGTCTCGACAAGAAGAGCCCATGATCCCTGGGGAACCTCTGTAGCAACTACCTGAAACTCCGAAAAAGCAACGAGATCGGCATCGGTGAGGTTCTTGATATCAGAGTTGTGAACTCTCTCAGTCCATGTCACAATATCGCCTACAATACCAGATATTGTAACCGCATCAATCAGCGCCTTAAGACAATCAAGAGTCCCAATAGCTTGACTCAGCATGAGAAGCGGGTCATTTGAATGTCAAATATCAACAGTATGCCTCCTCATCCTCTTTATGTGAGCTCGATAATCGCCAACCTCAGCCTCGAATCGACTTTGCTTGGCAGCAATGAGCTTAGCATGCGACTCGTTCAGCTTATTTTCTTTGGAGAAAACTCTGCTGTAAGCAACTCGGACTTTGACTACAAAGCATTAAGAAGGGACCTAAGATCGCTGACTTGCTTCTTCAAAGCAGCTGATTGTTTCCTCTCTATTATTCAAGTCCTTCTTGTTAGCATGAGCTGCCTTGTGAGCAGAGGACGTAGTCCCCTACTGACTCGCCAAGCTCTTCTCTGCTTCCTTAATCCGGCGCTTATACCCAACCACCATGCAGTTAACGATAGCAATATCTTGATAAACAAAACTCTCATATATCAGACAAAAGAAAAATAAAGTAACAATAACAAGGAATAAAAGAACAACGACAAACCTCCATTTCCTTTCGAGTACAATTAGTATAATAGCCGTTATCTAAAAGAGGAGAGAAATGTGGAAAGTTAGCAAGGGATCCTCGGATCCAAGCATTTATTTTCAAGTCGACCAGTAACTCGACTAAAAGGAGAGGAGTGAAGCTGTAGGTGGAGGCAAAGATGACACTGCATGTTGACAAAGACGGTTATCCAACCGTGAAGCATCGTACTCGCTAATCTCACTTTGCTCGCTGGCCTTAGCTCTTCCACCAATCTCTGCTCAAAACCATTAGATACGTCCTAAAAAGGCTCTATGTCACTCAAAGCCACAATCTTCTTGTTGAACTTATCTACATACCTCAGAAGATAACGTTAACCTTCCCATCACTGAACGTGGTAGACCTGAAACTCATCACTCAAAAAAAGACAAGGATCATTATTAAAGGAGTCAGAAAAATCAAAGAAAAAACTCACAAATTCGGCGAGATAGTCTTGACAAAACTAGAGGTCACATCTCCCATATCCTGCAAAGATTGTTAAAATACTAGACCAGATACGCACGGAAGCGAACAACAAGCTCTACAAAAGAAGAAAAAGAAGATGTTAGCAAAAAGACCAAACACCAATAATTTGTAACAAGAAAAATCTACCAGAAAACATGTTCCAGGTTGTAGCATAAAACATATCAGAGGCCATCTTGCTTGACGGGTCGGGCTCATCTTGTTCTAACGAATTTCGACCTCTTCAATAAGCACATTCAACAACCTCACAACATTATGTTCGACAGAACTCTCTCCTTATGCCGATCTCACTAGCCAATCTTTTACACGACTCTCATTTCCAAGCTTATCAATAAATCCTTAATGGAACCATCGTCGACATCCTCCCTCACATCTTAATCACAAGTCGTGAATTACCAACAATCGATCTCATTATGCATCGCACTGTCTCTCGATTTTGCTGACTTCAAACCAACCCCGAACGGCCGGAGAGTGACGCGATTATCGAGCTCACAATCCCTCGACCAAACCGCCGGTCTCAACCGCTCGGTTAACAAACTCACATTCCGCCAAATTTTTGACCTTGGTATCGCCTAGACTCCGCAAACTGCCGACCTCGCTCTCAACAATCAAATCCATCCTTACCAATTTGGATATGGCTAGTTCACAGTTGATCCAATGAACAAGTCAAAAGAGAAAGACGACTACCGACCGCGCCTCTGCCAAACGCCGGCCTCATAGTCACACTTTTGAAGCTCCATAATGAAGAATGGAGAACTCCTCTCGACAAAGTCGTAATTACCATAGACGCAGACCGATTAAACCATTTTGCCGAGCTCAAAATTTTCTCACGCTGACCTCACTCTTGTTTGCCATTCGCTAACAGTTCTTGCCAAACGACGGTCTCATTGACATTGTTTACCAAGCAAGTTGAGGAGTCCCAAACGGGAGAGAAATCGAATCACGACAGAGGAGTTGAGCGGAGGGCGAGTATGGCATCGTCGGGCTAGATGCACGGTGATAAGACATTGGCAGCGACTAGGGAGAGAAGCCATACAAAAATCTACAGAAGATGAAGCAAGCGAAGAGTAAGGACTTGAATGGAAGGCATAAGAAAAATATTTCTCCTACCAAACGGACAGACTGTCCTATACATTTACCATTCAACACAAATTAAATATAATGCAGTTTCAAAAAAGACTATTAAAAAAAATTGTACTGCTAGCAGATCAAAAATAATTTTTTTTTTTAATTCAAGTCTCTAATTTAATTATCAAAGTAAATTTATAAGTTTCAGCAGTTATGTTATTTTGATGAAATTATATAATTTTCCATATCTAACATTTTATCCAAATTTTATTTTGTAATCTATTATAATATAAAATAATTTTGTACAGTGAAAATATATAATATACTTAACTTATTTTAACCATTCAAACATATATTTTGTCCTCTGTTATGCTTGTTTACATATATGACATTAAATTTTTTACATAAATAATAATATAAATATTTGTACATTTCAATTTTTTAAATATATGTTGAAGAGTAATACTAACTAATACTATGAATTTTGATTTAAATGTTTACTGTAGTATATATAATTTTTTATATAAAATTACAATATAAGATTTAAAACAAAATAATTGAAAATCATAATTAATGTAATGTCTAACTAAATAAAAGAATTAATGAAATTTATATTTTACCTCCTATAAATATTTAATCTCTTTCACCATTCAACATATATTTAAAGCTATCGGACCATTTGATCTGCATTTGATATGCTAGATATGCTTACTCCGCTTTTGTTCTGTTTGATATGCTTGAACCGCTTATTCTGCTATGCCCGATACGCTTTCTCCATGCAAAGCCTAATAAGAAAACAAGCATGTAAACAGAAAAAGAAAAACGCAAATCGAGGTAAAAAGGTAATACCCGGTGGATTTACTTTTCTCAGCTCGAACCGGTCCATAAGAAAACATCTCGAAAAAACATACCATGCGCACATTTGTTTTAAATGTTATCTGCATTCATTGAATGCCTGACGCACGAAAGACTCAACCAGGCCCAGCATTGTAACGCCTGACCGCCATCTCTACAGTGGGCCCCATGTTCATCACCAGCCCATGGGCCCACCTCTCTTAATGGGCCTCACGTCCCCTCACTAGGCTCATGAGCCCATTAATATCCGATGGCCGGTTTGCTACTTCTGGGAGGTTTAAAAACTTGTTTAACGACCCTACAAATCACCACATGATCTTTTCCTGTGTTTTGGCATCACTCACACAGTTCTGACAACCACTTCCCGGAAAGTCACCCATCATTTGCCTACTCCAGCATAAGCACACTTAACTGTGGAGTTCTCTTAGGACCCTTGACCGAAAATATAAGTGCACTTTGGTACATAGGTGGCCAAATTAATTCATTTAAATCTCTCCGCAAGCTGGGGTCTCGCAAGCATTCTCGAGAAACATGCCTAAAACTTAATGTTTCCAAAAATTAATTATAAGCTCTGTACAACATGCTAAGATAATTATATCTCCGAAAAAAAACTCAGTTCATAACATGCTCAGAGCATTACATAGCATTACATCTCCCAAAACGGCCTCTAAGCTCTTCACGACATGCCCAGAGCATCACATCTTCAAAATCGAGCTATGGGCTCCTTGAAAGCATTTCTAAATTGTAAAATTGCGATGATTTATGGTTTTTACCTTAGTCGTCCTCAGGTTCGTGCCGAACTGGCAAATCTCCAAACTCTGAACACGTCTGCCAACCTCGAATAACCTCTCGCTCGTTGTACTAGGGTGAACTATTGTTGGATATGGGATTTGTCCAACAAGTATTTAAACAACAAGTCTTTTCAACATGTAATTTTTTTTGGGAAAATTGATTTTAAAAGATATTTGTTTTTTTTTCAATTTGTCCATCTATGCTTTTTTCAAAGTGGTATATTAGGTTTTAGAATAGAAAAATATTCAATTATACCCTTAGTTTTATTTTTATGGAAATAAAATTAAAAACTTTATTGTATAAATAAAATAAAAAAAAATAAGAAAATATTCCTTAAATCTTAAAAAAAAAATAGAAAATATATTTTTTTTTCCTTTTGCA